CATTAAGAAAACCAAGATCATTTTATTTGGGCAGGGAAAAAACCAAGGGTTAAGTTCAAAATTATGCAAGACTTCCGTGAGAGGGGCGGACTCAAGGTACCAAATTTGAAATTATATTATGATGCGGTGGTTTTAACATTAATTAGTGACTGGGTAAATTTGACAAACTCTGAGATACTTTATCTAGAGGGATGGGATTTACTTTATGGGTGGCATGCCTATTTAATATTTAATAAAAAAATAGATTGGGCTTTTAAATCTCATATTTTAAGAATTTCTTTACTTAGGATTTGGAGAAAATATTATAAAAGTGATTTTAAAGTACCATTATGGGCTATACCTTGGCATGCGATAGAAGGAATAAAAAGAGGGGTTAAAATGGATATGGTGTCTTATAGACAGTTACTTAAATGGGATGGACAAAACTGGCAATTAAAATCACGGGAAGAATTAGCACAAGAAAATTTTACTTATTCTTGGTTCCAATATAGGCAACTACTAGATAGATGGAAGATGGATTGTAAGGTGGGTTTTCTTAGAGAAGATGAAAATCTTATTAAGCAACTGAAGGATCAAAGACAAACCCACATTAAGAGAATTTATGGGGTTTTAGTTGAATTGGACTCAGAAACGGAACTAATTAAAGATTGTATGATTAGATGGGCGCAGAACTTTGGTGAGCCAGTTTCATTGGACACCTGGGAAACTATTTGGGTGAGAAATGTCAAATTTACTCAAGCACAGAATTTAAGGGAGAATTTTTATAAAATGTTTTATAGATGGCACCTTGATCCACAAAAAATGTCTTACATGTACCCTGACGTGCAACCTAAATGCTGGAGATGTGGTTATAAGGAGGCTTCCTATTATCATATTTGGTGGTCATGCAGAGAGATAAAAGCATTTTGGATCAAAATATGGTGGAATATCCAGAGAATTTTTAGAAGGAGGGTAAAATTTACTCCGCAATTATTTTTGTTAGGTATTGTTACAGATTGTGATACAAAGGAGGTTGTATTGATGTTAAATTTGATCACAGCCGCGAGGCTGTTAGTTGGACAATATTGGAAGAAGGAATCTTTGCCTACATTGCAGGAATGGTTTTTTAAAGTAGCTTATCTGGCGGAAATGGCAAAGATTTCGGCTTTCTTAAAGCAACAAACGCAAGAGAAGTTTTTTGCTATCTGGGACAAATGGATAAAATTTATACAATTTAGATTGGGTACACAAAAATATCATATAGCTTTTTCATAAGTTTTATTTTTATATATATTATAGATATCTTTTATATATATATAAACATAAAGTTTTTAATTTAATTTTTATTTATTTTTTTTTATTATTTCTTAAGCCTATATTCTGCTCTGGGAAGCTCAGGGGGGGGGAAGGGAGGGTTTTTGGGAGGGGTGTGGGGTGGGGTTTTTTTTTTTTTATATATATGTATTGTTTAATTTTTTTTCTTTTGTATATGTTGTTTTTTGTTTTGTATTGTTCTTGTTTTTCTTGTAAAATTTATAAAACTTTTAATAAAAAAAAAAAAAAAAAAAGAAAACCAAGATCATGGCATCCAGCCCTCTAAGGTCACCACAGATGGGGACTGCAGCCAAGAAATTAAAAGACGCTTGCTCCTGGGGAGGAAAGCTATGACAAATCTAGACAGCATACTAAAAAGCAGAGACATCACCCTGCCAACAAAAATACGAATACTCAAGGCCATGGTTTTCCCAGTTGCAATGTAGGGCTGTGAAAGTTGGACCATAAGAAAGGGTGAGCACAAAAGAATTGAGGCTTTTGAACTATGGTGCTGGAGAAGACTCCTGTGAGTTCCCTGGACTGCAAGGTGATCAAACCAGTCAGTCCTAGAGGAGATCAACCCTGACTGCTCTTTAGAAGGCCAGATCCTGAAGTTGAAACTCAAATACTTTGGCTACCTAATGAGAAGGAAGGACTCACTGGAGAAGGGCCTAATGCTGGGAAAGATTAAGGGCAATAGAAGAAAGGGACGACAGAGAATGAGGTGGCTGGATGGAGTCAATTAAGCAGTAGGCATGAGCTTAAATGGACTTCAGAAAATGGTAGAGGACAGGAATGCCTGGAGGAATATTGTCCATGGGGTCGTGATGGATCAGACATGGCTTCTCAACTAACAACAACAACAAGTAATAAGTGGGTATCATACATTTTGTTTGAGGTTTGTTAGTATTGTATCATAAAATGTCTCTTGTAACAAAAGGAATAAGAATCTTAGATTTCTGATCTATGGCCTGTACCATTCCTGTAAAAGGATCTGTCAAAATGGCATTTACCCCAGGGAATGAAACTAAAAAACCATTAACAAATCCAGATGAATTATTACGCTATTTTAGCTGCCTGAGCCAGAAAGGAAGTTTTGTTTCCCAGCAGAATTTTGGACATGTTTTATAATAGGGTCTCTTCAAGTTATGAATTGGTGAGCTTTTTTCTTTCTTTGATATCAGCTGAAGGAATGGAACTGAAACAATCTTGGGGTATGAGGGTGGGAAAAGCTTTTCTCTAGATCATGGGTGTCAAACTTGCTGCATCACGTGATGGGTCGCGACATATCGTGACTTTTTTTGCATTGCCGGAGCTGGGGTGGGCACGGCCTCCACATGAGGCAACTAGCTCAAGGGCCAGCAGTTTGACACCCCTGCTCTAGACAAATTGGAGATTCTTTTGTGTTTAAATACCGTATTTTAATGAGATCTATTCCTGTCCCAGTGTTAGGCGAATAAAAAATAGGAACGGTTGTGTGATTAGAACTATTAATATTAGGAATAAACTTTCTAATGTCTTCTAGTTTTGCAATATTAAATATCATTTTATTATGAAACAGAACTGTTGTTACATGTTGTTTTTCTCTTGTGAATCGAAATAGGTAAGACAAGGTAAGATTGCTGTGTAAAATTCAGGAATCAAGGTAGGCACTTTGTACTGGGATCCTGGAACTGGGAAGAGGGTTCTATTTTCCTCTTGAAAATTCCCCTTCAGATTGTTTTCCTCATCAGAAAAAAAGATGAAAAAGAGCCTAAGAGTTTGTGCAATTTTTTTCTCTAAGAGGGCAGATAATTATTTTTAATGCAAGGTGAGAGTGAGATGGGTACACTTAAATTTCATAAACCAAGCAACTAACTGACGGATGGTTAGCACATCCTTCTGTGGTGTTCTTTAAGATAGATTGGACATACGTTTCTCACAATTACTTGAAATAAGTGAGTTGAAATCCAACATACAAAAAAAAAAAAAAAAGCTGTAGGAAGATTTGGTAAACCTTCTTCTCAAAAAAGCTTGATAGATTATGTTTTTTTTCATAATGCTGATTCAAAGTTTATTTATTCCCAGATGCTGATACTAATTTTAAGAGAAGAGTTATCAGATGAAGGATTCCCTTGTCATTTCGCATCAAAAAGAGCCTATGAATCAAATCAAGTTATATGGCACCAAAGCTTTGATTGCCTCTTATGGACATTCATCAATAAACAATAGGATCAGTGCACATGTATCATGTGCATGCTTTTAGTAAATATTTTTTTCATTTATATATTGCATTTTGGTATAGTTTACACCTAATGTTAAACACGTGTCCTACCTTAAAAGAGGAGTAATACTGTGTGACATTCATATTTTCTACCTATTTAGAACATAGAATCAAAGACTGCAAGGTACCTTGGAGGTCTTTTAGTCCAAACCTCTGCCCAGTGCAGAGACTTTATACAGTTCAGGTCAAACAGTTGTCCAATTTATTTTTGAAAACCTCCAGTGATGGGGCACCCACAACTCCAGGAGGCAAGCTATTCCACTGATTAATTGTTCTCACTGTCTGAAAATTTCTCCTTCTAAATTGGATCTCTCCTTGATAAGTTTTCATCTATTACTTCTTGTCCTGCCCTCAGGTGCTTTGGAGAGTAAATTAATCTCCTCTTCTCTGTGATAGTCCCTCAAGTCCTAGAAGACAGTTATCATGTTCTCCTAATTCTTCTCTTCCATATACTAGACCAGCAACGCTGGCTGTGGAATTCTGGGAGTTGAAGTCCACATGCCTTAAAATTGTCAAGTTTGGGAAACACTGTACTAGACGTACCTAGCTCCCTCAACCATTCATTGTATGGTTTAGCTTTCAAATCCCTGATTTATTTTTTACCCTTTTTATGCCCAGCTAACTCTGGGAGTTTATAAAATACTATAAGCACACCCATGCAAGATCTGAATCAAATTTTGGCTTTTGAATCTGAATTTATGTGCAGTCTTGCAGTTTAATGCTTGTTCCTAAGCATTAGTCATAAACTAGACCAAAGGCCAGTCTAGTCCAGCATTCTGCAACACTCAGCATTCAGTATTCAACAAAAACTCACCCAAGGATATGAGTCTTTAACTCTTCCCTTAGTAACTGGTAATGAAAGATGCAACCATCAAAACTATCAGTTATTACTAATTTCCATGTGGTTTTCTACTTCCATTCTCAAAATCATCCAAGTAAGTAAAATTTTGCAATGCTACACCATTTTCTAATTTTGCTTAGAAATAATAGTCAAAATGATTTGCTTCTCATCCGAGAAGCTTGTTCAGTTTTAAGTGACTGGTGGGGAATGGAAGAATTTTATATTTTTTGCAGTTATCTGGTCATAGTACTCTGAGAGTCATTGAGGCCACTTGGGGGTTTATCTGTATCCTCAGAGTCACCTGAATTAGAGGGCAAATGGGTTTGGAACCTGTCTGGATCTGCTGACTGTGTTTGAAACAGGAAATAGGTGTTGTTGTATCCCTCCCCATGTGTTAAGGGAGGACTATTCAATTTTAACATGGTTGGCCTCTTTGACTCCTCTTTCACAGGAAAAAAATCAAGAAAGTCCAGTTCCCTTTTAGTCCTTTAGGACAACCATGACCTGGATGATTGAGAATCTCCATAGACAACAGCCCTTATACTTCTAAACAGCTTTTCCCCCACTCCAGTATATTTCAGTTTTGAGAAATAGCTAACTTACCGTCCGTTCGAAGTGTTAATGGAGTTGGAGGACTAAGCACCCTGGCATTTGTCACTGTGTTCTTCACGAGGCAGATATAACTCCCAACGTCTGATGGTTGCACCTTGGATATATAGAGGTTGCCTGTTTCCTGGGAGATGAAACGCCTGCTATCTTCTGCCACAAAGGAGGGGAATGCATTAAATACCCAGCTATAGATGATCTCTGTAAAATAAAGAGGCAGATACTTTGAATCTCTTGTGGCAAGACCACTCCAATTAAGAAAACAAATTACATACGTTTGAAAAAAGGGAACATATCTAATTTCAGTTCTTTTCTCCATGGAGCAAGACAGATATTCAATAATTATGGGAAAGCTTTTTTTTTACAAAGACATTTGTTTATTGATTATTATTATTTCTAATGAATTTGGAAAATATGCATGCTTAGCTATGGATAAATATTTTCAGGACATGTAGATATAAACGATTTTTACACCAAATAAGATCTCCATTTGATTCCAGTGTTCTGCAATCTGACTAACTCCTGGTGTGAGGAATCAAAATTAAATGATTAAAGATTAGTTATGGAGAAATTTATTACTAATCACTGAGCTAGGCTGAACAGGAAGCAATAAAATATGCCAAATGCTTAAGAAGGAATTAATATTAACATTGCATGGACTTTTTCTGGACAGAGCTTGGAAGTATATTATACCGTATGTTAAATGCCATATGAAACCACCGTATTTAATTTTACTTCCAGGCGATGACAGAAAAGCAAAACACATCTCATATTTCCAGAACAGAAAGAAGGACTGAGCAATTTGCAGTCCTCTGGACCCCTGAGATTATGTTATCAAGCTTGAGTGGTGTAATTTTTCTCTCCCATCCTTATTCAGCCCGAAAAATTAAGGCTAGGAATAAAAATGTGAGGCCTCTAAGAGGCAATTCCTCTATTCTTATTACCACCTGATATTGTTCTAAAATATTATTTTGGAAATTCAGCCATTTTGCCATTAAAATCTGGCAGTAGGATTTTGGAGAGTCCTGCTAAAAGCAGTGTTTCTCAACCTTGACAATTTTAAGGCAGGTGGACTTCAACTCCCAGAATTCCACAGCCAGCAATGCTGGCTGTGGAATTCTGGGAGTTGAAGTCCACCTGCCTTAAAATTGTTAAAGTTGAGAAACACTGTGCTAAAGGGATGACATTTACCTCCCATTTATATCTTTAATGCCCTTCCCCCAAAGTAAGGATAACTGGCCTCAAAAGTTTCTCCTCCTATCACCGTGGTTACATTCAGCCCATCAGAAGGTCAGGAAGCCAAACTAATAATACACCTTTTACTTCCAACACTCACAAAATGGGAATAAAGCAGGTGACCACGCACATTTACTCTTCAACTTGATTCTTGACAATGGTTCATTCAGTTAATTCAGCTTTCTGACTGTGCACAATAGTTAACTAGGTACAGCTAAGTTTGCCCAACAAACTGCGCCAAAATAGGTTGGCTAGTGATCAGAGAGTCATGTGAACAAAGATATAACTAATAAAAGCAAGGGAAAGTAGTGCTGTTCTTTGGAATAAGTAGCTTAAGCAGTGTTTCTCAACCTCAGCAAGTTTAAGATGGGTGAACTTCAACTCCCAGAATTCCAGAAAAGCTGGCTGGGGAATTCTGGGAGTTGAAGTCTGCCCATCTTAAACTTGCTGAGGTTGAGAAACATGTCAGAAAGGATGTCTAAAAAACCCTCTTTGTCCATAGAAAACCATAACAATTCTCAGTGACAGCAAGATGAGGACAGGTGCCATGATGAGATCATACAAATATTACAATTATGTAGTAAGGCTATCACAACTTTTATGGGTCCGTGGGATGTGATCTTTCTCACTCCCCCCCTCTCTGTGTATGTTTATCAGCACATTAAAGCGACTTTTAGTTTTAACTTTATTTTCTGTCAAACACAAAGCTGAGATTAAATTAATTAATTAATTAATTAATTAATTAAATTAAAACTAATTAAAACAAATTCTTTGTCCTGCAAGTTCCCATCTCTCTCTCTATCTTAACTAGAAGTTTGAACCTGACTAAGCATTTTGTACAATTACCTATTGTATATGTATGCAACTTTGAGAATTGAGTAAAGGAGAGCTATTGATTGATTAATTATGTGCCATCAAATCATTGTTGTCTCTTAGTGATCACACAGATAGATCTATGTCTCATTGTACTGGCTAGGTGACCTTCTATCTCTGGCATTTTTTTCCCAGATCTGATTTCTTTCTCTTTCTTTAACAATCCCTTCAGAGTCATCTGGGAGAGTTAGAATGGTTCTTTGTTGTCCTCTCCAATTTCTTTTTCATTTTTTTTCCTCCATTTCCTCCATTTCCTCATTACTCCATTTCTCCTGTTCCATCTCCCAGAAGATTCTAACAGAATAATAGACTTGGAAGGGATCTGGGAGGTCTTCTAGTCTAACCTCTTGCTCAGGCAGGAAATCCTATATCATTTCAGACCAATGGTTGTCCACTCTCTTCCTAAAAACTTCCAGTGTTGGAGCATTCACAACTTCTGGAGGCAGGTTGTTCCACTGATTAATTGCTCTGTCAGGAAGTTTCTCCTTAGTTCTGGGTTGCTTCTCTCCTTGATTAGTCTCCATCCGTTGCTTCTTGTCCTGCCTTCAGGCGATTTGGAAAATAGCTTCACTCCCTCTTTATTTTATTTATTTTATTTTTAAAATTTATAAGCCGCCCCACTCCCGAAGGACTCTGGGCGGCTAACAATAAAAAAACACATAAAACATAACAAACAAACAGTACAAAGACAGTCATCCAGGGGTCAGGTTTTATAAACCCCAGGCCTGCCGGAAAAGCCAGGTCTTAAGTAGCTTACGGAAGACCAACAGGGTGGGAGCGGTCCTAATCTCCGGGGGGAGCTGGTTCCAAAGCGTGGGCGCCATCACAGAGAAGGCCCTCCTCCGCGGCCCCGCCAAATGGCCCTGCTTGGCCGACAGGGCCTGAAGGAGGCCCAGCCTGTGGGATCTAACCGGACGTAGGGAACTATGAGGTAGTAGGCAGTCTCGCAAATAGCCTGGCCCTGAGCCATATAGGGCTTTAAAGGTAATGACCAACACCTTGAATTGGACCCGGAGACCAATAGGCAACCAGTGCAACTCACGGAGGATAGGTGTAATGTGGGTGTATCGAGGAGCACCCACTATCACTCGCGCGGCTGCATTCTGGACCAACTGTAGTCTCCGAATACTTTTCAAGAATAGCCCCATGTAGAGTGCTTCTTTGTGGAAACCCCTTAGATACTGAAACACTACTATCACCCCTAGTCCCTTCTTTCCATTAAACTAGACATGCCCAATTCTTCCACTTTCTCCAGCTTTCTCCTCCTCCTTCTCAAAGGGAAAGAAATGAGAATTTATGCTCTCTCTCCTACATTCAGGGTGCTATGAGCTAAAAAGAACATGTATGGCTAACTGTGCACATATTAGGATGCTAGAAATCTGTAGGTGATTGTAGGCTGTTTCAGATATTATTAAGGAAATGATTGCATTTGTCATTGTAAATGTAAAGAAGGAATTTTTTATCATTTATGATGGACATGTGATAAAGCAAAGATATATTGGAGTAGGATTCTTTTTTTTTTATTGAAAATTTTTAAAATTTTACAAAAAAAAAATCCCTTCCCCAAACCCTCCCAACCCACCCCAACCCTCCCCCAACCTTCCCAGAGCTGCATAAAGGCTTAGTTAAAATTTAAAAGAAAAATTTTTAAACACAAATAAACCAAATAAATTTGGTTACAATAATTAAACAAATCATAAAATACTTTAACACCAGTATTTAAAAAACAGAAAGAGAAAGAGAAAAGAAACAAGAACAAGAAGAAAAAAAGAAAAAAATATCTAAGAAATATCTTAAACTTTAAATATAAATTATTCAAAAGCTAAATAATATTTTTTTATATCATACTTATATTGTATAAAATTTATCCATCTTTTCCATACCAAAAGGTATTTCTCTTGCGATGGAGTAGGATTCTTAAAGTGAACATAAAGATAAAACCAAAGACTTTTCTTTTAGGCCTAATGGATAAAAACCTTGGGGGGAAAATGGGATTTTGATGTTATACATGCTAACGGCAGAAAGAATACTTTATGCACAAAAATGGAAGTAGGAGACTGTGATTTCCACAATGGATGAATGGCTGCAAAAGTTGATAGAATTAGCAGAGATGGCTAAATTGACTACTTTGATTAAAGAAAATAATACAATTAATTTTGTTTCTACTTGGAAACTGCTTTTGGACTTTGTGCTAGAAGTAAAAAAAATGAAACTTCGATTTTGGGTTTTGCTGATTGGATAGGTTTGGTGTTATAGAAATGGCTAGTATATACTATTATATAAAAGTAAAAAGCTGAGTTTTCATGTTGCATCAAAAGGAGTTGGAAATCAAAGCTTTTTTTTTCCTTTCCCCCCCTCTACCCTACACTTTTCTCTCTTCCCCTTTTCCTTCCCTATTTTTCCTTCATCTTTCTTTATATTTTTTGTATTTCATGCTTTGTTAAAATTAATAAAATTTTTGAATCACAAATGATGTCATTAATAACTGACAATCATACATTAAGTATTTCATAATGGTTGTCATTTGTCATCACTAGGATTGCCCTCTCCCCTCTGTACACCAGCCCACCCTTCAGGGAAATTAATATTCTCAATACTACTAGCACCTTCAGGATTTGAAGCAGAGGTCTTGTTTGGGATATATTTCATTGAGATCTCACATGTATCCTTATGCTGAACTAGAAGCCTTCTTCTCTCCATATTCTGTCTGCCCCACAGCTACACTGGAAGAATAATCAAAAAGGAGAGAACTGGTAGAGGCTGTTAAAGACTGTCTTTTGCTAGAGCTATCATAAAGGCTTCAATCCATGTTTGTATTCATATTTTCCATTTCTATTATCTCAGCTTCTCCTCTTGATGTTTCCATGTTGCTGAACTTTTAACACCCAATATTAGCTCTCAGGCAGCCTCACTCCAGTTCCCTGACAGACTTGTCACTTCTGACTCTAAATATAGAAATGTCAAGGTTGGTTCTATAATAGAAAACCCACTGCTACTGTTCAAAAACACAAAATGTTTCACTTGTTCAGCCTTGGATGGAGACATTAATTATCTGTAATGGCCAGTAAGAATAACCTTGAGAAATAGGAGGA